GGGGTTTCTGCCCTCGGCCGGGCGCCCGTCAGGGTCCAGCGCGAAAGAGCGGGAAAAGCGGTCAATGACATTGCGTTTTTGAAAAAAAGAGGGTGTTAGGTCCATTAATTCACGCGCGGCTGAGGCAATTCTTGGCCCCGACTTTCAGAGGGAATAGAAACTGACCGGGGACCCTGAAGCGCCGGGCAGTCGCTTCCCTGGGGATGGAGGACCAGGAGCCTCTTCCGACTAACCGACTTAATTTTATTAAGCGGCAGAAGCAAAGCCCTGATCGGGTTTGTCGCCTGGAAAAAACCCTCCCGGGCTCCTCCCGAGGCCTGGCCGCCGAGCCTGGGAATCACCCGCGCGGGCGTTTCTGAGCCAACCCGGAGCCGCGGGGTCGGCGTGACCGGCCGGCCGCTTCTGAGGTCCCTTTTTCCGAGTCACGCCAACCAATTTCCAGGATTTTTCTGCGGCGAACTGTGGAAATACCGTTCGCAGAACCAGCTCTGCAAGGAGCCCTTGAGGACGGAGCCCATTTCCAATGAGGACAGCCAGAGAAAAGTTTTATCCCGGACACTTGGGATCAAACAACATGTCCCCTTTTGCAATGCACCCATTTCCTGTTGAAACAAATTTCCGTTTGTTTTAATTTTAGTTTAGTGTAATAATTTAATTTAATACATAATTCAACTAATTTAATATATCGTAATTAAATTAAAGTTGAAACAGATTTCCAAGTTCTCTCAACTTAAACATATTTTTCGCAAAGGTAGAGCTGACGTGCAGGTTTGCTGTTCGGGGCTGTTTTCCTTTTTATTAGGCAGAGGGAAAGATTGGAAGCCAACTTTTCGGGTTCTACATGTGATTTTCTTGAAAATCCCCAGTAGGTTTCTAAAGGGAAGTCCATCCACTTCTGCTAATTATTTTACCGGACATAGAATAAACAGCAGGGAAAGTATGAAGGCAGAATGGCACCATTTTCAGTTATTTATTATTATGCCATTGGTTGGTTTGCATTATGGAGGCCTTTGGCTTTGAGAAATAAAGTTACACCTAACAACCATCCTTTAGGGCACTGTTTCTCAACCTTGGGAACTTTAAGATGGGGGACTTCAACTCCCAGAATTTCCCAGCCAGCTTTGACTATGGGTTTCACCTAATCACCAGATGCTTTCCCTTAAATTGGATCAGTAGGATTCCAGTACAGCTATAAAGTTAGTTTAAGTTTAAGGTAGTTTGGCTCCTTCGCTTCCACACATCAGCCTTACATTCTGTTTACAGTTGAAATTTCATTGAATATAATGTTTTTGCTGTGGCAGTCTCCTGCTGATGGGGCTATGGGCTATACACAACATCTTCACTCAATACACTAGGGTTTTTTGGCTTGAAAATATTAGGGTTAAGATTTAGCTTCTTTTATTTTCTTCTTTTTCCTGCAAAACCCTCTTTGCATTTGGAGAATTAGTGAGATTTTTCAGCATGGAAAATAAAGGTCTCATGCAATCCTTTTGGGCTGCTCAGGTCCAACATAGGTTGCAGTAGTACAGTGCATCTTATAATTTCCTTTTTTCTCTTTAGATGGCCTTCTTTAGAGAATCCCTTTTGAAAGAGGTAAGTCTCTATTGCACCACAAATATTACTTGTTCAGCGATTATCTGACATTTTTTCCCTTTTCCAGATAACTCTCTCTCTCTCACTCTCTTTCTTTCTTTCCCTGCAGGGTGAAGAATTTCTTTTCACATTTTTACCTGCAAAAATATTTCAGTTGGATCAGTTTCTTAAGGTAAGCACATATCCCAAGGCAAAGTTTTGCTGGAGGGACATGTATACATGCTTTTTAAATTGTCATTCTTTGTCTACCCCTCCAGGAAGACTCAATGAACATTCAAGATTTGACAACTCTTAAAGCTCCTTTGGATATCCCTATTCCAGACCCCCCACCCAAAGAAGATGAGGTGAGTTATTGGGGAGGATTCTCTCCCCGCTCCCCCCCCCCAAATTCAGTATAACTTGTAAGTGGCAGAAAATGATATATATGGATTTGATGTGTTCCTTGTAGATGGATACAGAAAAAGAAGAGAAAGAAGGTGAGGAAGAGAGGGATAGTGGAGGGGGGGAGATGAATTTTAAGGGTTTCCCAGCATTTTATGGACTTAATTTCACTTCTTCTGCGACTCCCAGCTCCAAAATGTGGCTATCTCAAGGGGAATGAGGTTCTTATTTCACTTCTGGATCGTGTTAAGCCTGAAGTTCGGGAGTTTAAAGAGAAAAGCATTTTGGTGAGTTGGCAATGGGGCCTCTTCACTCCCCCATTTCTTATTTGTGAGGTGCAGTTGTGTATCTGGTGAAGAGTTGTGTGATTTTTCTCCAAGGCCACTTCCATCTCTTTTTCCTGATCCCCATCAGGTCACGACCTGGATTCAGTTCATGATTCCCAAAATTGAGGATGGCAATGATTTCGGGGTAGCAGTTCAGGTAACAGAATGGGAACTTAAGGAGACTGCATTTCCCCACCCTAAAATCTTTATTTCCCTGGCTGGGGGATCTCTCTTGTGGCCCACCAACCCTTTCTTTCCTTTGCAGGAGAAGGTGCTTGAACGTATTACGGCTCTGAAGACCAAAGCTGAAGCTTTCCAGACAACAATTGCTAAGTAAGTGGTCAAGATGGCCAGCGCAGAAAGGAGGCAAACCAGAGAGCTCACATGGTATCTATGTTCCAGAGAATCATGAATTGTGTACCGCAGTCAGGCACCACTCCTGTTGGTGTTTCTTCAAACCAAAACCCCTGTAAAGCATCATGGAGTCCTCTCCTGCCTTAATAGTGTAATGAATCTCACAGTGCCTACTTCCAATATATCATGGACAGGCTCTTCCTTGTTCAGTGTCTGCAGTCATCCTGGGTAATGTTTCTTCTAGCCAAGGTGCCTTGTGAGCATCAATAAAGGATCCGAATGCTAGCTGAGAGAAAAATCAGAGTATGCATTCTTGGGTCAATTCTGGCTCTCCAGAGCCATGACGCAAGATGATCAACAAAGCAAAAAAATGTGAGGAAGAGAAATGGATGTTGACATCACGGGATGAGGGTTTAATCCATCTTGAAATGGTGACGGGACACATATAGAGAAAGGCCTCTCTGCGCTCTTATCCAGGACGTTCATGGCTTTATATTTTATTTTATTTGTAGGTACTGGTCCAAAGAGAGCCAGTTTGGTGGTGTGGTTAAGGCACCAGGCTAGAAACCAGGAGATCTCCCTTAGGCACAAAACCTACTGGGTAACCTTGGGCCAGTCACTCTTTCTCAGCCCTAGGAAGGAGGCAAGAGCAAACCACTTTCAAAAATCTTACCAGGAAAACTGCAGGGACTTGCCCAAGAAGTCACCAGGAATCAGTGACTTGAAGGCCCCCCCCCCCCCCCAAAACCCTAGTCCAAAGCAACATAATTTATGCTGTGGAACCAATATCACTTCTGTTCCTTCTAGATATTTTCTGGAGCGTGGAGATGCCGTCGCCAAGGCCTCCAAGGAAACTCACGTGGTAAGTGATGGAGAAAGGTTGCAATTATTTGTGGTCTGTTTGGTGGCATGCCTGATAGGAAAATTTGAGCTCTCCTTGTTTCTCTCCCCCCTGACTCAAAGCTGGGAGAAGACCTTCCTTGGAAGGAAAAGCCAAAACAGCTGGTGTTGACTGGGAGAAGGAAAACAGCACTTCAATTCCATGTTGAGTTGAAACCTTGATTAACTCAGTGCAAGGTTGACATGATAGTTCTTGGAAATGTGAAAGCCTGCAATTATTATACACATTAATAAAGTTATTGTCTCATATAGATTTTGAACTGCCCAGAGTCACTGAGAGTCAGGAGGTATACAAACTTAAATAATAGCAATGACAATAACAATAATTCCATTCCCCACCTCTTGAAATTGTGTTCCTGCTTAACTGGTTTCATTGTGATTTTTTAAATAAATCACAGCATCTGGACTTGTAGAACAGTTAAGCCATAAACCATGATTTTCAAACCACCGGCTGAATTTACAGAACGTGCTAAGCATAGCCAGGCAAACCACATTGTGTTTGAGAGTGTCATGGGAATCCATCCTGACTGTAACATGCTTGCCTTGTTTCCTGCAGATGGATTACCGGTGCTTGGTTCACGAACGTGACGAAGCCATCTACCGAGAAATGCAGACCATGGTGCTTGATATCCGTGGATTTTATGTAAGTAAGCTGAACTGATCGTAGCAGATTTCTACTATGGGAAGATAGAGAGTGCAGGAGTAAAGGAATCGGGCAGATTTCTTTCTGTGCTTAACTCTTTCCCATTTCTCTCTACCCTAGGCTGAGCTGTACCACATCTTAAGCACAAATTTGGAGAAACTGACCAACCCCAAGGGCGAAGAGAAGCCATCCATGTATTAACAAGAAAAGGGCACCTATGGGGCGAGCAGGCAAGGGTTGATGTTATGTGGGTCATGATATCCTTGTGCAAATAACACAATTCACCAGCATTTGTGGCGGCCACTCCTTGCAGAGGAGCTCAATGCGACTTTTCCTTTCTTTTTGGGGGGTGTTTTGCAAACATAAAAATCTAGGGTCAGAATGAGATCTGAGAAATTTAGAACCAGGAGAGAGATTTCTGGGAGAGATGAAGCAAATAGTATGACAAAATAAAATGTTTCAATCTATTTGGGTTTGCTGTTCTCTGTCTTTTTCTGAGAGGTCCATCAAACAGCATTTTGACAGAGCTAGGGGGAAATCTTTCTGTACCAAAATTTTTTGTCTAGCCATTTTTTAAAACAGCGTTGATGGTAAGACTACCCTGAAAGATTGTTCTAATCACATTAGTAGACGCTATGTCTGCCTGAGTTCCATGTAAAATGTATTCACCTGTAGTTGACATCTCTTGAGAAAACAAAGGCTATGGGGATGGGTCCACAGCACAGAAGAGATCAAAGGGAAATCTCAGTTGAGGTGATGAAGAACTTGTTGAACAATCATTAATCTCTAAATGTTAGATCTCCTTGAAGCAAAATGTATAAAAACCCTGATTTCTTTTATGTTCAGGGAGCCTCTTTTCATAGAGGTATCCCCTTTACTGCTGCGCACCAATAAAGGAATTTTGCTCTAAACGGTCTCTCGTGTCCGGCGAAGCTATTGGCAGTCATCTCTGGGCAAGAACCCCGTTTTGGGTCCAACAAAGGAGTTGCGTTGTTGGACTGCCTCTGTCTTCTAGAGCAGTGTTTTTCAACCTCGGCAACTTTAAGATGGGTGGATTTCAACTCCCAGAATTCCTTAACC